ATGGTAACATTGATACTAAACTACTGTAATACATTCTACATAGGTCTCCCCTTGAAGTCAACTCAGAAACTCTAATTGGTGCAGAATGCCGCAACTTGGTTATTATGGATATTACATTCTACAGTCACTCCATTGACTGCCCATCAGTTACCAGGCTCAGTTCAAGGTATTGGCTATCACATATAATCCCTTTACGGCCTCGGACCCTCATATATGCAGGTCTACTTCTCCCCTATGCTTTCCCATGACAGCTTTGCTCATCTGAGCAGGGCCTTCTGCAGGTGCCACCTTACAAATGGGCAAAAATAACAGCTGCCTGTACACATTCATTTGTTGTTGCAGCCTCCCACCTTATGGAATATGGCTGTATTGTAACAAAATGGTTTAGAAAGATGCTTTGGTAAAGGGACGCAAACTGTAGACTATACTACTGTGTATAGTACATACTGCCTGTAGCTTTAAGTATGATCCTACTATGTAATTGTTGCTTTGTTTAACATGTCTTGTTAATGCATAAGCTTCATTTCAGCTCCATTTCCAGATTTCTGCATGGTTTCAGATTTCTGCAATTCAAATACTATTGCATAGTTTATTGGCTGTCCCATTCTGTTGTATTGACTTAGCCTTGCGTTTCAGTGAGAAAGGCAGACAATAAACAAACAAATAGAGGTTGCTTCCATATGGTGAGGATTCTCGGTGTTGCTTTCATTGCTGCTGTAAATGCAAAAGCATGTATGTTGGTGATGGAATTTTTCTGCACCCTTTCTTCCATTAAAAAAAAAGTTTCCCTTCCACATGTGCTTCACAGGGACACTGCACTGGCTGTCAGGGATGCGGTGATCACAGCTGCCATGGCAACTCACCACCCGTTTTTCCTTCATGCATGTGCTATGGCAGAATATTGCCATGCTACCGGTAGTAGTATCCTTCCAGCTGTCTTGCAGCATCCCCTCCCCAGTCCATCCAGGTAACTGGGACAAAACGTGCTTATACCTTTCCCCTTACCTCCCCAAAACAAGATTAAGAACAACAAAACGACAACAAAGACCTGGGGAAAAAAAATGAAAACTGGGAATTCAGAGGAACTAACATTTGAAATGTGGCAATAAATTGGTATAGTGCTATAGAAGAATAATAGGAAGTACATATTTTTAAAGCCTGCAAAAATGTGTGGTGTCTCAGAAGGGAAAAGAATTGAAAATGTCAGCAGGGGGCTGACAGTGGATATGGGTGGGAGGACCTTTGCAGTGGGGAAAATATGCTCTTTTCCTTCCACATGACATGATGTATGCTTGGACTGTATTCCTTCTGTAAAATATCAGAGTAAAGCAGGTTTGGGGAAGACAGTATCGAGGGTTGGAAAAATCTGGAAAGACAAAAAATTTTGCGGCTGCCCCCCCACCCCCACCCCAGGTCCAGTTTGGAAGCCAAGCTGGAGAAATACTTCTATGCAGAAGTAGCCAATTAGATCTGTGGTGTCCCTTTGACGGAAGACATCATTTAATGCTTGAGTCCAGTGTGCACACACAAAAGCTTATACCTGGAATAAAAGTTTGTTGGTCTAAAAGGTGCCACTGGACGCAAACTTTGTTCTGCTGCTTCAGACCAACATGGCTACCCACCTGAACCTATCATTTAATGCTGTAATGATCATGTCTTAAACCATGCTCACTCTCTCAAAGAGCATCTTAGTGGTTTCTGATTTTATATCATTTTTGCTTAAATAGAACAGTTTTCCTTCAGGACATATGCACAGCTTCCAGTGCAGTTACTCTTTGCTTTAACAGCTGCAGAGATCGCACACAAGGGGTAAGAGTTATTTGGCTTCGTAGAAATCCTCTCCCTTTTATCACCAGACGACAAAAGCCCACAAGACATTAAAGGCTTAAGATGGCTTTCCCACACTGCAATCAGACACTGGAAGGCAGTCGCAGTCCTTTGGGAGCCAAGGCCCTCCCACCAGCAGCTCCCTCCCCTTGCTGACTGGCAGTGTAAGAAGCAGATGCATTAATCATTCCCTGATGAATGTCATCACCATCCTTTAAGAAAAACCTCCCCTGCATAGGCCTGTATCTTGGCCACTGCGCATGTTCCCATGGAAGCATGGAGATGGACAGCATAAACAAACATAAACAGTGCCTGACCAATATGTTCTGTGTACTTGGATGCTGCATAGCAAGATTTTTCTACAATGGCAATTCTGTTTGGAAAGGTCCTTAGGAAAGACCTTCCTCTTATTAAAAGGACATACTAGTATGAACAATATTGCCATCCAAAAGAAAGATTGGGAGACACCAAGTTCCATGATTTCCTTGAAGTTGGTTCTTTTGGACTTTAGGAGCAGTGCAGTTTTAAACAGAGTTACACTCTTTTGAAGTCGAAGTCCACGGCCTTAGAAAGGTATAATTCTGCTTAGGCCTGCATTGTGTATCAGCTCTTGCGTGTGTTTGGGAGATATATTAAGTGCTGGCAACTCAACCAAACAATCCTTTCATAGTAACAAAACAATATTGGTATGCATGAAAATAGAACAGGTTTGATACCCTGTTTGCTGTCAAAGGGAATTACATAAGTAACACTTTTTCTCACACACTTCTAACGGGCCAGGTCAGCTCTTAGTTATTGCTTCATAATCTTTGCAGACAGTAGCTACCTTGGTTGGCAAAATGCTCAGGTGGCATTCTTAACATTCTGTTCACAACTAGGGCATTAAGATTTCTATTTTAACCTCAGGTGAGAGCTGTGATTCTGAAAAGTGACTGAAAATACAGCCCGGAAAACTAGGTCAGTCTCCCTAGCCCAATAACACTAATGGATGATTCAAAGAAAGCACAGGAGAAACAATGCAGCCAATTATGGAGTTACGCACGCATCCCAAAATGTGCAGGGATTCTGGGGCAAATAAACCTATGCTGAGGAAAAAGCTTCTCCACCTACTTTTTAAATTCAGTTAGGCTCTGGTCAGTCACCATGTCAAATGACTTTACACCTACTTTTACCATCATCATTAAACAAACAATTTCCTGGGATGTGCTCTTGCTGAATCTTATGGCTGGGTTAAGAAATAGAGTTTATAAATTAACTGATGGCCATCACAGGACAATTCATAAAAGAAACAGAATAAAAACCCCGGAAGCAGTTCAAATTGCATTTTGACTCTTTATTAAAAGGACCCGATGTGCCAGGCTCAATCCTTTGTAACCAGGCTCTGAAAACAATGTGCAAATAAAGGCATGGGTGAGGTGAGAGGGTTATATGGATATAGATTCTTAGCACTCGCAGGAAAGAAGGTAACCCACCTGGAGCACTGTGCTCATTATTTTTTTGTTCCCTCCTTCCTCCCATAATTCCTGGACTCCGTTGCTCTAAACCATAACTTCCTTAGAAAAGAAAATGGCCTCCACCCCAGATCTGGGGACTCAGTAGGCACTCTGTGTTTGTGTGTATTCTGCTAGGCCCCAAAGAAACAAAAATAACTCCCCCCCTGTCCCCCATACTTTTGTGCTAAAATAGAATTTTTATAAAGGAAAGGAAAAAAGAGAGAGGCTACCACTTTCGACACAACACTTCATCAGCACCCACCTGTTCCACCTCCCTCTCCCACACTAATGTTTGTGGTGGGTGAATAATTATAAAAATAACCTATATAAAAGGGGAATGGGGACAGACTCTCCTTTTATATGGAACTGAAGAGAACATTTAGTTTGGCTAGCAGGAAGAGAGAAAATGCTGCAGTGAGGCATAAATAAGCCCCCCCCCCATTATCCATTCTAAAGCCAGCACCAAGGGGCCGTGCAGCATTTAAAAGATCAAGTTTATATCTTTTCCCTGAAGACCTCCTCAAATTGCACTTGAACTGGATTGGGACGTCCTTCCTCCCCTTCCTCTCTCCCTGTCCAATGAAGTGAAGGGGGGGAAAAAGGAACAGAGAAGAAATCAGAATGCTGAGAGACCCTCCAGCCATGTGGGATGGCTTCTGCCTGGTGGCAGCTCTCCCTCCAAGTAGGGGCAGGCACTTTTCAGTGAGGTGATACTGATAGTGTTTTTTCTGCCCCAGGACAGAACACTGGCTCCTTTGAATCTTGCACCTGCCTCCCAGCCCTCCTCAAATGTACTCTCCTAGCCTCACATCAAAATGCACAAAAGGAAACCGCACTGTTTCTCTAATCAGCACCATTCATCTTGGGTAACTTTTGCAAAAAGTTCTGAATTGTAGTGGAAGAGCAGAATGGAGGCAAAACTAGTTCCGGGAGGAGGTGCCGTTTGCCCTCTGCAGAAACGGTAATAACACACTCACGATGACTACTGCAGTTGGAATTCTCTTCAGTGTCACACTGGTTCACAAAGACTCCCACCGTAGCATCGCCGTGGGTTGGTTTTGGAATCGTCCTTTCTCATTGGCCAGCTGTTAACTGCCTGGCCCGTGTTCTCCCTGACCAGTGTATTGCACACCACGCTAGCAAGTGCTGCATCTAGCTTCCTGGAGCACTGGCTGCAGTGGCTCACCTGGCTCATATTTATGACTGGTGGAGCCCTCACCCGTTCCCCTCCGAGGAAAACTTTGGCTGGAGAAAAAATATTCAAACTCAAAGCAACTACTCTGAGAAACATTGATTCACAATTCCTTTCTCTGTCTAGAACTGTGACCTGCAAGGAGGTGGTCAGCAAAGCCAGACATTGTCTTGGCTTTGGGGGCTCCCAGTCTTTACCCTGTTGCCTTCCTTCTGCTCTAGGCCTGCCAAGAGGCTTGTGCCTCCCGTCTTGTTCCAGGCACACATTTACAAACCAGTAATTCCTTTGAGCAATTTGCAATACTAGAAGCAGCAGCAGTAAATGATTCCAAACTCAACTAAGACTGATTGTCTCCCACATGATCTTCCCTTCACCTCCGAAAAAATAATAATTCTGGACCAAAATGTTTGTCGTTGTTGTTGTTGTTAAATCCATTATTTTTCTTCTTAACCATTTTTTCTCTCTTTTTCTTCTTTCCTTTAAAAATGTCAAACAAAAGAAGAAAATCCAGCAATAGGGGCTCTGGATCCAGGGGCAAGGCTACTGGGGGGTCGGTAAAGGGTGCTCTGCTGGCTCGGAGGGTTGACTGGAGTTTGTGGTGTTGGAGTCCTACTAGTTTTGGGTCGGAAGAGGCTTCCTTGTTGAGTGCTGGTGCTGTTGGACATTGGGCAGTGGTCAGGGTCACCAGAGTCGCTCTCTGTGTAACTGTAAGCCTGAGCTCTGGAGATGCCTTTCTGTTGACGCCTCCATGAATTGTAGTAAGTAGGGTCACTGATGTAATGGTTGACAAAGGAGTGGGCTTTTTGCTGGTTCTGATCCACTTCGTATTCACTGTCGCTTCCCTGTGGAGTATGATAGAAAGACCACAAGTTTAGTGAAGCGTTAAAGCATGCAGAAGGCTATCGGCTTGGTGGGCCGATGCTCCTAGAGATGTGTGTGTGAGGCAGGCCACCCTCTCTTATCCCACACAATATGTCTGCCATTCTTTGCCTCTGCAAAAAGGGGAAAAAGACCAAAAAACGAGGCTTTCCCCGTTCTCTCATTCTCAGCCATTCACCAACATACTTTTTATCTGCCTCCCATCTTCAACTATACTTATTTATTTATTTCACTTATACCCAGCCTTTCTCCACAGTGGAGACCAAAGCAGCTTACATTATTTCCTCCTTTTTATTGGCACAACAACCTTGTGAGCTAGGTTAGGCTGAAAGTATGTTGACTGTCCCTAATCACCCAGTGAGCTTCCGCAGCAAGATGGGAACCTGAAGCTCTAACCACTATACCACACTGGCTTTCATAAGGCAGCTGCTGTTCACCAGCAGCAAGCAGGCAGGTCTAGTTGAGTCATGCAAGTTGGGTGGTATCAAGTCACCCAGAGGTTGGTGTCAGGTCTAAGGTTGCCATCCTCCAGGTGGGACAAATGAACTCCAGACAACACAGATCTATCCCCCTGGAGAAAATGGCTGCTTTGGAGGATGGACTCTATAGCACAATCTCTAGCTGAGGCCTCTCTCCTCCCCAAACCCCAGCTTCCTCAGACTCCACCACAAAATCTCCAAGAATTTCCCAACCTGGAGCTGGCAATCCTAGCCCCATACCTGGCCCCAATGAGTCCTCCCTCAAAGGCTAAAATAGGCCTGGAAAGGGCCCTGCCCCCTCTCCCTGCCTTTTACTGACAGAACAGAGCCTGGCATACTGTGGTTGCCTAGCAACAACCACTGAGGGAATGTGTTGCTTAAAGCTACAGGTGCTCCTTTTATCATTTTGGGTTTTTTTAAACCCCCCAATCTTGCTCCTTTATAGATTTCACATTTTTTTTGCAAAACTCAGGTGTTTTTCAAGTTTGTAGAAAGGTCTGTCTTAACCATTCAGAAGTCTAATCACCGTATTTAAGTATCCTCAGATTTAGCTGTCTTAACTATTAGTATACGGATTATTTGGCAGATTTTAAAAAAATCTGTTGACAATCCTAATGTGCACAAATCACGGCACCATTCTAAGAGGAACTGCTGCATTTTCATTTGTCATGTTTTTCTTCCATTGTAGAATTCAGTAGCATACAGAGGGTCTCTTGGAGGTCTTCCAACCAGACACTGGCCAAACCCAGACCTCTGCTAAGCTTCAGCAAAGTTGCTGTATGAAGTACCTTCCACTCATACCCTGTTGGGACTCTTTCTTTATTCACTCCTCAGAAATATGGGAATTACAATGTTTGTTGCATGTTCCAGGGTTATGTGAGATACAAAGTACTTTGGATGGGAGTGTGACAGGAGGAGCATAGCAGATTTCAGCAGGAACAGGAAAAACAGGAAATAAAACAGTTCAGCACAGGAATGGATCCCCATTTCTTTATCAGTGGGGGGGAAATGACAAAACGAATTAGAAGAGAATACTAAGCAGCCTTACTGTTTGCCACCCGATTTAAACTTGATTCTGGCAAGATAAAAGGAGTTACTCCATGGGATCTTGCCCTTATTCGAACTGGGCTCCAATCTGTACAGAGCAGCTATGGTTGTGATCACACGCAGAATTAGCCACGTCATAGGCATGAATGCTGGGCAGATTTTAAGGGCGTGATCACACGAGAACATCTGCCAAGCGTCCTGCACTCATCGGCAACCCGTTTTGCTCCGCCACAGTAGCAAGGTAAAAAGACACCAGGGAAAGTCCGGTAGCAAACGGGTTGCTACGGGCCAGGAACGGACTTTCCCCTGTGTGATTGCTCCAGCACGCTCCCATAGCGTTGGGATGGTCTGAGCAGGCCATCCATGCCATGGTCTGACTCCATGCCATTGTTCCCCCCCCCTTTTGGTATGCGCATCATCGCACACTGCATAGGGAGCACTCAGTGCGGACATGCGAATCATCGATCCCTCATTGAAGCGCACCGGAAACACGCAGCACACCCCCCCTCGATTCACCCGTGGTTGCATCTGATCACACAGTGGCGAGCTGCCCCCGCAGCTCCCAGGGACTGTGTGATCACGCAAATGCGGGTCAAATTCCTGCAGAGCAAATAGCCTCGCTTCCCTCCCACTTTACCTCGCACCTGTGACCGCAACCTATATGTGCTTAGCTGTTGTGCCAGTGCAACACCTTTCCAAACTACAGATATCTGGCATGCTAACTAAGCACACCTAGCTGCTTTGCATGTCGGATTGCTAGCTCTGGCTTGAGAAATTCCTGGTGATTTGGGGCTGGTGACTGAGAAGGATGGAGTTTAGGATGGGATATGATGCCATGGAGCTAACTCAGCTGGGATATGATGCCACAGAGCTAACCAGCCCTTCAAAGCTGCCATTTCCTCCAGGAGAAGTGATTACTGTAGTCTGGAGACCAATTGTAATCTCAGGAGAACTCCAGGCCCCACCTGGAGGTTAGCGGCCCTATTTGCACAGGTAGCAGCCGGGTTAAACAGCATGTGATTGGAGTAGAAATGAATCAAACCCACACTCAGTTACAAGTTGATGGATCTGTAGTCCTTTTCTTGCTTATATTCTCACCCTCTATATTTCACACCCTTTGAGTTTACAGGGCTCGGCTCACATAACAGCAGGGCTTTTTTTGTAGAAAAAGCCCAACAGGAACTCATTAGCATAATAGGCCACACCCAGCAGTAGAAACTCATTAGCATATTAGGCTACACCGCTAACAGCGCGGCTGCAGGGAGCCTGGGCAAGCCGGCCTTTGGAGGGAAGCACCCCGCTTGCCCGGGCGCCCCGCAGCTGGCCCTTGTACAGGCCAGGGAAGGCACAGGGAGGCATTTAAATGCCTCCCCGATCCTTCCAGGGCTCCTCCAGGCCCACCCGTCTTGGAGTCACTGGGGTGTGTGTGTCACTCTCCAGGCCTTCCCTCTGTAGCCACGCACGCAGAGATTTTGGCTGTAGTGGGCGTGGCCAACTCTGAAGCTAGCCGGAACTCCGTTCCTGTGCGTTCCTGCCCAAAAATAGCCCTGCATAACAGTCACATTATTTGATGTAAGTACAGATGATAGAAAGTCGCATAATTTTGGTTCTTAAACACTCATTGCAGTGATTAATATTTCATCATGATGAATCTGACAGTTTTATGATTTCAGAAACCTCTGAAACCAGGACTTCGGCTTGTACATCCTTGATGTGGCTACTCTCTTCTCTGTTTCCAAAAAGCATCATCAACCGATTACCAAGTACTCTGTCCAGGGAGACCTCTCCTTCCCTCTCTCCCTCCCCCCTCTCCCTGTATATATCAATTGTAGGAGGAAGAAAACAGAGCTAGCCAGGGCAGTGCAGCCTTGGCTCAGTTCCCTCCTTTCAACTGTGCTCTCTGTAATTGAATTCAGCTTCTCCATTTGTAGAAGGACAATAGGGACCATTCATGAGAACCCTCGCCCCAGCCAGGGATGCGATCAAGTGGCAGCTTTCAGCCAGTTCAGCTCTTAACAGTTCCTCCAAGGTACTCATTCCGAGGAGCAAGGGGATCTAGCCTTCTCAGCCACTGCAAAGAAATTGGGAAGCACAAGGCCAAAGTGGGCTGCACAGTACTCATCTCCAGGACAAGAATGGAGGGGAAGAAGTGGGCTGGCGCCTTGTCTCAGAGGCATGCAGGGCTATAGGCAGCAAGGTCAAAAACATACCAAAACAATTTCCAAGATCAAAACTGGGCCTTTGAACAGAACATCTGGCTTGAAAGCACAGGAACCCTTCCCCTCCCCAGTCTCTTCTATATACATTCCAAAGTGCTTTAGAGAGGAAAGTTAGAGCTGCATTTTTAAAGAACAGAATGCAGGACTTCCAGGCCTCTTGTTGCACAGTAAAAGTTTTTTTGGAAACTCGCAGCTTCCCTGGCTGCACCAAAGATCCACCCTGTCTTTCCCTCCTTTAAAAAGTAAATCTACAATGCCACAGATCAGACATCCCATTCCCATCCTCCATGTCTGGTTTTTAACCTGTAATACAGTCAGAAGCAGTACTCAAATTAAAGAACACTTCATGTTGCAGTTCTGGGAGCTCTTTTCTCTCTCCTTTATTCCATAGTTCATGTGGATTACCAGGGATCTGGAGGAATTGTGCATATGTGCTTTATGGATTGTGAGGATAAGATTCACTGCACACTTACACCTGAGTTTCCCCAAAGCCTTGCCTTTAGCCAGAGGTGTACCTAGCCTAATTGGCACCCGGCACCCAGGGCTATCCTGTCTGGTTGGGGCTATCCAGGTCAGGGCCCCTCCTCTATACGACAAAGTTATTTTCATTAATAATCATGAAATAAAACAAATAATAATAATGGCCAGAAAATAGATTCAGGTGGGTAGCTGTGTTGGTCTGAAGCAGCAGAACCCAAACTGGACCCAAAGAAACACAGACAGTAAAAATTTTCATTTTTCATATGTATAACCATGCCAGTAAAACCATTCAAATTCCAACATGCTATCCCACCACGAGAGCCAGCGTGGTACAGTGGTTGAAGTGTCGGACTAGGATCTGGGGAAGCCAGGTTCAGATCCTCACTCGTGCCAGAGAAGCTTGCTGGGTGACCTTGGGCCAGTCACAGTCAGCCTAGCCCAGACCTGGATAGGCCCAGAACAGCCTGATCTCGTCAGATCTCAGAAGCTAAGCAGGGCCGACGTGGAGGCAGGCAAGGGCAAACCACCTCCCAACGTCCCTTGCCTTGAAAACCCGAGAGGGTCGCCATAAGTCAGCTGTGACTTGACGGCAAAAAAAAATAAATATCCATCACACCACTCGTGTTCTGAGCAGGTGCTTGGAGGGACTTCTGTTCTCCATTTTGAAGCCGAAGAGCTGACCATCCCAAACATCTACAAGTCATTTTTGAGAGCTAGGAGTCTCCCTTTGTACTAACTTATACTAACTAACACTAGCTAAAGCAACACAAAACAGTGATTGCAAGCTTTTCCAGACTGGATGTTAAGAAACACACTACCCCCCAAAGAAGGTGCAAGGAAATGAAGAGAGAAAGGCTTGACTTTTGGAGAAAATGACCTGCAGGCTGGCAATTACTATAGCAGCTATCAGCATTCTGGCATGGTTGTTATAGCAGCTATAAGCATGCTGGCATGGTTGTACAATCTGTTAAGCAGCCAATCTGGGAGAAAGGGAAGTCTACCTGATCCTAGCCATTTTGCTATGCTCAGACTTCCTGTGCCCCTAGTGGCTGCATCCAGAACTGCATTTTAAAATAAAAGGAAATACATTTGGCTGGACACAGCATGACACTGGCTTCAAGCACCCCCTTCAAGGGTCTTCCTCAAGCTGCACCCTGGTCACAGCATACACACACACACACACCACACCCTTGGTACACCACTGCCTTTAACTGCAGAAGTCCAGCAGTACTACAAATACTGCACTGAATTGAAACCAAAGAAAGTCATCTTCAGTTCCATAATCTGCCAAGGATTCTTTCTGCGACCTGTGTGTAACAGTTATAAAGCCAGAGGTCATTTCGGGGGGGATCGCAGTTCCCCCGGGTGAGGTACGGGGGGCGGGGCACATGATGAAGCCCCGCCCCCTGCTTCCGGCCCTCATTCAGCCAGGAGGAGGCAGGAGAAGAGGGAGGGTAAGTTGCTTCCTCCCTGCCTCTCCCCACCCCTGCCTGCCTGGGGCCAGGGAGGGCCTTCGCGGGGCATCCTTGCATTCCCGCTGGCCTTGCAGGTCCACCGCCGGGCCCCTCATGGGGCTTGGCAGTGGAGCTGCAAGGCCAGCGGTGCGGGCGGGACCATTGGGGGCGGGGTGTGTGGCCTTATGACACACTTCCGGTGATGTCAGGGGGTGTGGCCTTATGACACACTTCCGGTGATGTCAGGGTGTGTGGCATATGCTAATGAGTTATGCTAATGAGTTCCCCTAGCTCTTTTCCTACGAAACAACCCTTGTATAAAGCCCAACCATTAATAAAATCTCTTGTCAGGCTCAACGTAGAGCTGTGGGCAGCATTATGTTTATGGAAGTTTGAGTGCTGAACATGAATGCCTTAAGGAGCATTTCCTTGTACTAGCAAATCACAGATCTCTGGCACTTCACTCATTGTACTGCTGTAGCCTCCTGCTGGGCATTAGCAGAGATAAAACCAAGCTCTGAAATTCATGCCCTCTATTGTCCAGGGCTCAGACCAGTCCTGGATGGATTTACACCTAGATGTATTTTCAGCAAGGACCCAATGCCATGACAGTAATCCCTCTGCCTGCCTAATTGCCCCAGGGTGCCAGTAGTGGTCCAGGCCTTTTGACAACAATCTCTGTTCTCAAGCAGAAGACAAAGGAGTCATTTGGCTTTAGCCTGGCAGGGATGCCAGCTCCTGACAACCCCAGAACTGCTAGTGCCTGTTGCTGCTAGCAACAGGGCCCGGGAAAGAAAGGCCTGGCTGTAAAGCTGTGTGTGCCCCAATCCTGACTTTTTGAGGCAGATGTCTGCCTGCTTCTTCTCTGCTGCTATGCAGCAGGCTCCTCTGATCCCCACCTCCTTTTCCAGAAGGATGTAGAGGAACAAATACTTTTTCAGATTTTTCACCAGGCAGGTTGGCTATCTAGTATCCTAGATCATCTAGTATTCAGGACATAGATGAACAACCTTTTCAGATTAGTGTTTTATTCAGCCTGCAGTTGGTTGCAGGCCACAGTTTTCTCCCTGCTCTATACTTACCTTAGTAGCCTTGGACACCCCCCCCCCAAATATATTGACAAGGAAGCAGAACATATCAACAAGGGTTTGGGCAATGGAGAAAGAAGCAAGGATTTTGACCTCTTTATTAAATCTGGCGTTATTACTCCATTTCCATTGACAGGATTATAAACCACAATCCCAAATACTAGGGTCAGAGGATCCTGACTTGCGTTTGCTCAGAGGCCCATACAACACCTTGCTCATGTGGCTCCCTCCAACTCTTCACTCTCTTGTAAAATACAAATACATTTGCAAATGTCATATTATAAACATCTACCTCATCCTTTAATGTGAGTTGACACCACCATCACACAAGCAACATGCCTGTCAGGGTTACCAGCTCCTGAAATGAAAACTGGAATTTCTATAGAGAGATCCCAAAGTGGGGCCAAGAGCTAAGGTTGTGGTGGAGCCCACCAGTTTGGAGCAGGACTAAGGTAGAGCCCAGAACACCCACCCACACACACAAGGAATGGGGGAGCATTTCCCCTTGCTTTTCTTTCAACGAGCCCCAAAGCTAAACACAACAGCAATGCATGGGATTTTTCAGAATGGTTGTCACCCCTAATGTGTATGTACTTCATAGAGGTGAGTGGGAACACATGGTTCCACACAGGAAAAGCTTCAGTAGACACCAGTTGTTTTTAGATGGATGTGCACACAGCATCTGCCACTCCACTATTCCGAAAACCTGTTTCTGATACTGGAGACCATTTCAGCAGCTAGAACCAGGATGCTGTAGATTCTGACAGGTGCACTGACCCAGGATTACCAGTGAAGCACGAAGTCTTGCTGTGCATGCGCAGAGCCCTCAAGCTGTAGCAGTGTGACAAGATTGTGCCACCGCATCTCATTAGACTGGGAAGTTTCTGCACACTGTAGCAAAGCTTACTGTGTCAGAAAAGTCTTCTATACCCATGACAAGTTCCTTGTGATCCTGTTAGTCCATGCTGGAGTGCCCCACACTTGCCCAATATGCTACCTGGTTCGAAATCCTGTGGCACTCTTAGTACTTTCTGCTCTAGTTTTATGCAACCACCTCAGCCCACAACCTCCAGCGTGGCTCACCTGTGAGTCAGAGATTTCTGAGGGCTTCTCAGTGAGGCTGCTGCTCTCAGCTGGGATGAGGTCATTATACTTGGTGACATCCTCATCTGAATAGTGCAGGGAGCCGGGGCTTGGTCGTGGTGGGGACCTCGGAAGAGACATGGAAGAGCTGAGATTTCATTCAGAAAAGGAAAGCATTTAGTGTGGGAGAACACCCCTCCCAAGTTAAGTGTATCCCACTCTCTTCCATTAGTTCGTCTGCTGCTTGAGCAGCCTCCAATACCTTGTGTAGATACCATTCTTCCGGCAGAAGGAATTCTTCACCGACAGGCGCCTGTTATTTAACTCCAGAGCAGGAAAACTGCTCTCATCCAGGCTGACCATCTCTCCATGGCCAAGTGCATTTGATTTGGAGTTGCTGCCTGAAAAAAGCCAGGGAAGCAGGTATTACCTCAAGGGGGCAAGGCAGCTGCTCAATCTCTTACCAAAGAGAATAAACCTCGACATTTGTTTCCTGATTGTATCAGGAAGGGCCATCTCAGGTTTAAATAATGGCAAGACAGATCAGGGGCCATAAAACAACAGAATGAAAAGAAATATTCCTATGAGACAAACAAGACCTGGAATCCATCTTGAAAGCAGCACAGACAACCTTCTGAGGCTATGTGCAGAGCAACAAAGGAAAGAAGTCTTATTAAGAACATAAGAAGAGCCCTGCTGGATCAGACCAGTGGTCCATCTAGTCCAGCACCCTGTTTCACACAATGGCCATAAGGGAGTAAGACACAGAGAGGGGAAAACAAACCTGACCCAAAAACTAGAATCAAGAACCAAAAGGGTGAGAAGAAAGTCTAATGAAGGGCCAATATTAAAAACCTAGTTAAAACTTATAATATACAAAATTACAAGTATTTATTAGAAAGACAGTGAAAAACATACATAAGGGCCCAATGAAAGCCTCGTAAAAAAGTATAGCCTAAACACAAGGGCCAATACACATGACCTGATGCGTTTCTACCCTATTGGTGCCTTCTTCAGAGGTCAAACGATATCGAGGTACACATAAATACATATTGCAGTAAGATAACCAATAAGTGAATACTGGACCAGGAAGAGGAAGGTTAAGCAGCAAGATCTAAAGACACATGACAAAGATGTTTGTGAGGCCTCAAAAGGTGAAAGTCATGTGTCTGGTGCCAAACGCACAGTTGCTGAATTAGAACATCTTCCAATTTAGGTCCTAAAAGCACCTGTGGGGCTATGAAAGTCAGAGCTAGAGTGTCCTCAAGCAAATAGCCTCCACCTTTTTGTAGATTTTATATACAGTTTATACAGTGTTTATACATTCAATGTATGCCATTTATTCACATTATATAAAGTTGATTTATTGATACATAGATAATGTTGAGAAATGTAGATACTGTATAGGAAAAATTCGCTGCAAGAAAACAAAAGATGATGCAACAATTGAGCCCATGATTCTTTATTTTCTCAAGGCAGAAGTAAAATTAAAATAAGGGCTTTCAGTTCAGAACAAGAGCGATGAGAAATTCAAAATGACGCTCCCCCATTATACACACCATCATGTGTGAAAATTGTGATTGCTGCATGTAGTTGTGCTTGGATGATAGTATACGTTTCTTTTTTAACAGCTCTGTAATCCCCTACAAGGAAAATATTCTCTATGAAACAGTCCTCCAATCCCAGAACAAATGTTATGAGTCCTTGTTTCCAAAAATCCCATGTCCCACTCCCATCCCCCTCCATCCAGTGCATTTGTCTAAGGGGAATGTCTTGATTTTCCTCACAACTAGAGTAAAGCAAACATAGCCACATTCCCTTGCCCCAGTGACCTCTCCAGTTTTGTGGCTGCCTCTGGCGATACTGGGACATGAAGCCATTTGTTCAATTGTCAGCTTGGAATGGTATCAAAGTACCCATTGGCTTTACACCCTAATTTCCCACAGTGTAAAACTTCAAAGAGGGTTTATCAAGAAAACTCCCAGGGTGCAAAGGACATTCACAGTTGTTTCTTGTATTTGTGATCCTTCTCCACAACAAAAACAACATTAATAGTTTATATATATACTTGGAAAAGGTTATTGTAGAGTTAGAAAAGATACAGAAAAGAGCAACAAAATAATCAGGGGACTAAGCAGCTGCCCTATGAGCACTGGTTAAAATGCTTAGGGCTGTTTAGCCTAGAAAAAGGCAAGTAAGGGGAGATATGATAGAGGTTTATAAAATTATGCATGGCGTGGAGAGAGTGGATGGAGAAACTCGTCTCTCTCTCTCTCTCCCATAATACTAGAGCCTGGGGTAATCCACTGAAGCTGAAGGGTGGGAGATTCAGGACAGACAAAAGGAAGTATTTCTTCACACAGTACAGAGTTAATTTGCAGAACCCGGTGCCATAGGATGTGGTTATGACCATCAACTTGGAAGGCTTTAAAAGGGAAGGGAACAAATTCATGGATGACTGGGCAATCAATGGCAACAAATCATGATGGATATCTACTCCCTCCAGTACCAAACATAGTATGCCTCCTGCTGAGGAGCAGAGGGAGGATGCTGCTGCGGTTGCAGTCTTCCTGTTTGTGGGCTTCCTAGTGGTAGCTGGTTGCTAGGGTTGCCAGGTCTCCTTGTTGCTCTGGCAGGGGGATTTGAGGGGATTTGGGGGGGTTTTTGGGGGTGGGTGGGAATGCCCCAAGCCCCTCCCCCAAGAGTGACCACCTGCCCAGCCACCCCCTCCGTTCCCTCCTGCCCATTTTAAAGGGCTTCAGCTGGTTGGTTGGGATGACATGGCCCGCCGACCAGCTGCAGGGTGTGGTCGCGGGCATGCTCGGCTCGCAAAAAGACCCTTTGAAGTCTTTCAAAAAGACCTTTTAAAACTGGGTGGGGGTGGATTGAAGGCCTGCCTAGACCTGGGGGCTGGCAACTCAACTGGCTGGTGCTGCTTTAATTCCATGATGGGTTTGATCACAATGTGCCCTATATAGCTATTGATTTGATGGCCTTTACTAGAATGCTGTGTCTCATGGTTTTCAAGACGATTCACAAGCTGGCTCAAGAGAGCACATTCTTTTCCTGTCTCTAATGAACACAGCTGTAGGATGCTTTCTCTTTCTCAGGTCAATAAACTCCAAAAGTAGAATGAATTTCAATCAAACTCCCCTCTTCCTGCAAGGCCTTTTGGTGGGAAATTTATGGTTTTACAATGCATTGACAGAAGAGAGGGATGTGCCCATCACTCTTCAGTATTCCAGTTGTGTTTTTATATGAGGCTCCTAAGCATCTGGCTGTATCCTATAGCAAGTGCAATGATTCACACCTCTTATCTTAAGATGGGCCTTTTGCTTATACATGAGAGGTCCCTGACAACTTCCAGAGAAGACCTCTTTGTTCCTTGTCACATAAACAATTTGTAGTTGAATGAAATACAATGTAACACTATCCTGCATTGGGGTCAGCCAATGGATGTATGCCAACTCAAATGATGCCCCTTTACTTGTAACCAATGAATGTTTCTATGCGTTATCATCTTTGCTTATGTCATTTTGAGTATATAGTCTTCTGCACACCATGTTTGCAGCGGAAAGCAGCTTTGGTTTTGCATGCAATTTATTGCTTAGCACTGTTTCCCCTGTTTATTGCAATAAACATCAAATAATCTTCTCACTGGACTTCCCTTGTGTGTCTTTACTCTGGCCTGGGACATACGAGCCACAATTTGTAGAACAGTATGGAAGAACATAACTTCCAAGAAGAAAATGTGATCTAATGAGTAGGAAAGAAGTTTGGAGCCAGGAGGTTTTGGGCAGAGAAGTGACATATTGGCTAGAGCTAAGAGAGTGAGAAGAGATAGATGTAAAGGCTGTGGATGACTGGAAGTTACTGAGTCATCTGCCATTGGCTCGTACTGTGCTCCTCAAGGGTTACTGCTTGGAAGCCTCCACTGAAGTCTCTCCACCATTTGAGCATTCAGAGCCCTGAAAAGGAAGCATGCCGAAATATATATATATATATTCCCCCTATCAGGGCTTTCTTGGGATCATATTGGCACCCACCTGAGTCTGACTTCTTAGCGTACTTCTTGCTTTGCCCACGGATTATAAGGACAAAGACCAGCAGGAGGATGAAGATGAGTCCCACCAAAGCAATGACAACCAGGAACCACCATTCTTCATAGAAAGGGTTTGCTTTTTGAGCTGCAAAACATCAACCAGCATAGAGCAGTCAAGAATCCTTTCCCCGCCACAGTAACTTATGGCTGATGTACAGTGCTTCCATGGCTCCAGTTCAATGAGTGGGAGATGAACACACCTGGTGTAACCTAAGGCAGTAACATACTTATTCCACCGTTACCTGAGACTGATGGGGAGGGAGCACTGGGTGTCCCATAGCCATAGTCATTGACAGCAATGACGCGGAAGTCGTAGCTGACACCTTGTTTTAAAATATCCATGCTAAAGGTATATGAGGTCACTTCCTTGGGGATGTCCTTTATAAGAATGTCCCAGAGCCCCTCATCTGGAAGAGAAAAAACAGTGTAGTCAAAATAGGAAATACACGTGTGTATGTTTATGCATACATGTACACATACACACTTTAACCCCCCCCCCCCAGAATGAGGGTCAGATTCTTGTCTGGTACAAATATGTACAACACCCCCCCCCTATAAAAAAATGTTACAAAAATTTATATGACTGGTTTGTAAGCCTGTGCACAGATTATGTAATTATTTGCAAAATTAGTATGATGGGTATACCTGTGATCCTTCATTTTTAAATATTTGGGCAAATCTTGGTCAAATAAAGTTCAAGCAACATGTGTAAACTGTATCTGCACCCACTTCATGCGTGCGTAAAAATGTTAAATCAGGCAAAGAAAGTAAAGATAAGCTAAGCAACGGGCCAATGTCCTACAATGGGACAGATAAATGTCAATGCTTTTAAACTGTCGACTGTGTATGTATATTCCAGAAAATAACTTCAATTCTGCATCTTTGTGACACAGCAAATTCAAAAGGTAGATTAAACTATCTCTATTTCCAGGGGATAGGCAAAGCTGTCCGGCTGAGGTTACCCTAAAAAGAGCAGCTGTCGCAGACAATAGTGCTGGTAGGTCATCAGGTGGGTTTGGTACCAGCCTGGGTTCTGAAGGGAAGATCTGTCTCATTCCACTGGAGGTAATCAGATTTTCATCATCTGAGCTAATAATACTTTTGTTCAAGCAAATAAAAAAGGAGTTGCCAACAGCCTCATAGAGCTCACTGATGTTTTTGTGCTTGTATCCTCACACCAGGACTGACCGATGAGGTGGCAGAAGGCATATTTCATTCTGCACATGTGTTCTCTGGGTGAAGTGTTATGGATGACTGAAAGTCTACCCTCCACAAGCAGACCCCATGGCTGCCTCTGTGCTCACTGTCCCTTACTTTCCCTGCCTCCTGGAACCTCCTCCCAGTCCTCGGCCACCCCATGTGATCTTTCTCTTCAGTGGCAAACTATTGAGCTCCCTCTTCAAATGTATACTCCAAAGCACCAGCTGCAGCTTCACTGCCAACTCATGGTACACAATAAATATTAAAAATATAAAATGAAGCCAGATTTGTAAAGCACTTATAATTTTCAGCAGCACTATAGAAAGAGATAACGAGGGTCCAGAGCTGTAAGAATTAAACTCTCGGGCAGGGATATTGTGGGAAATAAAAGGCAGAGAAAAAGGCTATAAACTCCATGCTTCATTTCATATGATGTTAAAACCCACTTCCTGCACGTGTTTGCTCCCATTTTTCTATTGTATAAAGCCTGCACTGAATTTACATTCGATTGGGGTTTTCTTTGTTTTCTATCCTGCATAACAACATACACACATGCATTTCAGTAGCACAAGGAAGGCTCGAAATCTGCGTTTAGAGACTCCTGTGAAAATGCCCCTTGGGTAATGGCCTGGGTCTTTCAGCATACATTGTTTCAGGTTAAGGTGCACGAGCCTCAGAGGCAATTAACAGCCCCTGTGCCATGCCATCTGGTCTGTCCTGTGGTCTCCTAGAGGCTGTCACTCAAAGCAGCATCATTAAAAAGCGAGTGAGAGACCATTTCAAAGCACTCAAGTGATTTATCCCCCTATGTCTGCCCTGCTCTTGGCCTGTGAGTTCATCAATCATTCCCTGCAGTGGAATAGTGCTCTCCCCCAGAGCGATGACCTTATAACTGGTAGGGATGGGAGGCACAGAGTGGTTCAGGAATCACAGCATCCTCTTGGGGATGGAAACCAGCTCACAAAGTCAATCCCTACAGGAGACTTCAAGACACACACTTAGCTGTGTAGTGTTTGTGTAAGCCGCCCTGAGCCTGCTACAGCAGGAAGGGTGGGGTAGAAATCCAATTAAAAAATAAATAAAATACAAAAAAATACCCACCCCCAAAAAAGACTGTGAGATATTACATGCACTGGATTCAGGCAATCTTAGTGTGTTGGAGAAGCTAGGTTGTAATATATCATTCTAAACAGTGTAGTGCTGATATAGAACCTGACACATACTGGGGAGACTAATTCAAATCAGGCTAATATTCTTGGTGTGTTCCTAGAGTCTGGATCACCAGTATTTCCAGTCCATGACTATGAGATTAGGAAACAGGGAACCCCAGATTCATTAACTCCAAAATTATGTGCCAGAGTTCACGAACGTACCACAGAAGAACTGCTAGAATGCCATGGAAAATACAATACTCATATAATAAAAGGTTCCTGTGAGCCCCAACTATCACCCACTGAGGAGGCTGCCCACAGCATCCATAGTAAGTGTGATGGTCCGCATTCAGACAATCATCGTAACCATAGATTAATTAAACCACAGTTTCATGTTATGTCAAAGTGCATTGGTCATTTCAGGCACTGCTCTCTGCTCTCCCACTTTCTTCTTCATGTCTAGTATTGTCAATAGCTGCAGTTTCCATGGCAAACAAAGACAATGTCAGGGGCAGCCAAGGAACTGTGGATCAAGAACCAACATACCTGAAGGCCGTGCCTCAATAACATATCTAGTGATAGGCCCTTTGCCTGGGTCGCCACTTGACCAGTGGATGGTGATGGCTGAGCCATACCTGGAGATAAAGGGCTCACCTGGGGGACCTGGAGCACCTGGGAACCAAGCCAAGATCCATTATTAAAAGAGAGAACATTCTGTGGAGCAAATAATAAGCAAATAAATTCTTCACTTTTTCAAAGGTCATATCTGAGATGATACATTTCTAGTATCAGCCCTAGGGAGAATGTACTGCTAATGCTACTCATAAAACTATCCTTTGGGGAGTATAGGTTTCTAAGGCTTTCTTTCTTTCTTTCTTTAACTACATGTGTTTGTATCCTAAAGCCTCCATTAGTAGGGCATTCTGGGGGTGGGGAGCTGTCTGGCCATGGGACCCACCTCAGACCTGTAGAGTCAACTTACCTGACAGCTGCAACAGCCAGGCCACAACACACCCTGAATGGGCAGAGTGGGGCTGCAGACTCTGGCTCAGTAATAGAGTTTGGCAGCCAGATGGAGCCAGTAACACCCTCAAGCCCTGCTCAAAGGAAGCAACCTGGGAGTCAGCTGCAGCTGTGACAGGACTTCAGGACACTCCTGGTATGGTGAAGGGGTAGAGGGTAGAAGCAAGTCAGGGGAGGGGATTGGAAAGTTGGCAATCCCTTCTGCTCTCCAATCCACTGCAGGGAAGGTCAAGCAACAGCAAGAGTAATGTGGCTTTGACCAGGGGGAGCATCACAGAAGCTAGTATACACCCATATATTTTCTTTCTCCCCATATCAATGCTCATGGTGGAACTTCCCTCTCCTGCCAGTTGTTCTCCTTACAAACAGCCCCCAGCTTATCAGCTAATTCAGTCCTGGTCTCTATTCTCCAGTGTCTTTATTCATTTAGCCTTTCTGGAGCATTTGGTAGCTAGAAGCAATTGACAATGTATATGTACAAGAAACTAAGTTATTTACGGCGTGACCCATTCTTTGTTGCTCACTCTCAGCTGTTGGCAATATGTAATTGGCAATATTTACATAATTCCTTGCATGATTTCTCAACTGACATGTTTGAACTGAGCAAGTTTGGAACCCAGAAGTCACTATTTGGGCTAACAAAACTGAATGCTAGAATTTTCATCCCAACTATTTTCTACTATGGAACCCAAGGTGAGGTACATAAATGTTCCCAGGTGGTTTCCCATTTAGGAACTGACCAAACTGAGACTTACTGGGCTTCATACAAGGATACAGCATCATGTACCTTCCAACATGCTACACTGGCTATCCAGTTCTTATACTCACAGTTTATATGGGTTAGTAATGAAACGGGACAACCAAGATTAAGTTAATTCATGCCACAGTATTCCCCATTACTATGTATGGGTGTGAAAGTTGGGCAATGAAGAAAGGTGACTGGGGCAACCTTTGTGGTGATCCCTGTTAGTCCAAGAATCAGAAAAAAGAAACTAGCAGGATCAGTGCAGATATCACAGTACAAAACAGAAACTCCTGTGGAAAATCTCCAAATCAGTTGGCACATGTATCTTTCTCCTGACTTCAGGGAAAAAGAAACTAGCAGGATCAGTGCAGATGGCACACTACAAAACAGAGACTCCTGTGGAAAATATCCAAATCAGTTGGCACATATATCTTTCTCCTTTCAGAGCAGAAAATGAGCTGTAGTGCCAGCCAATGCTCCCTCTAAGCTGTGGAGTCTTGTGAGCAAAAATTCTGCTTTGTGAGCTACTTTTCTTAAAGTTGTGAGTGATTTGGCTACTGCATAAATTAGTTTGCTCTGGAGCAGGACTTTTTTTTGTAGAAAACCCCCAGCAGAAACTCATTAGCATAATAGGCCACACCCAACAGCAGAAACTCATCAGCATATTAGGCCACACTCTGACAGCACAGCTCATTAGCATATTAGGCCACACCCCATGGCTTTCCTTGGCTTGCCGGGGTGACTTGCAGTTGCGGGGAGCCCAGGCAAGCCCCCCCTTGAAGGGAAAGGAAGGCAGGGAAGGGAAGCTGGCCCTTGGACAGGCTGGGGAAGGCACAGGGAGGCATTTAAATGCCTCCCCGATCATTCCAGGGGGCCCCTGGCCCGCCCATCTTGGAGTTGCGTGGGGGGTCGCTCTCCAGGCTTTCCCTCTGTAACCACGCACGCAGAGGTTTTGGCTGTAGTGGGCGTGGCCAACTCTGAAGCCAGCCAGAACTCCGTTCCTGTGCGTTCCTGCCCAAAAATAGCCCTGCTCTGGAGCCATCTTTCCTGAGCTAAGACAAAACTGTGTGAGCCAGAGGCTAAAAAACTGTGAGCTAGCTCAGACTAACTCAGCTTAGAGGGAACACTGGTGCCAGCTGCTGTCTAGACAGGCTGTGAAGATGATTCTACATGAACTTGCAACACCTATGCAAGTATTTGGAATGGCAGCTAAAGAGGGGTCCCTTCCCAGGATTTGTACCTTCTCCTGGTCCTGTGGTAATGTTGGCTTCTACTTCTGGCCCATAGGTGAAGGTCTTGGCTCTGATCCGGAACCGGTAAGTGACACCTTCTGCTAGGTCTTTGACTTTTAACCAAAGAGGGCTGTTCCCCTTTACATCCACAGTAACAATCTTGCTGACCCCTGGAAGGCAGAGAAAAGAGGCTTAGATTTTAAGACACTTGATCCCATCACCTTCCATTTCTGCCAAATTTCAGTGGTAGCTGTGTTGCTACAGTACTTCAAAATGCAGCACTCTAAGACTAAGCTTGTCGTTTAAAGTCCCTTTTGTTTCTCTTCAATCAGGAATAGATGCTGCTGCTTCTGAATCAGAAATCTGTTATAAAACGAGTATTGTCATCCTAGGCAATTAACAGCCTTCTAAGTCCACTGAAGTCAATGGGCTTGAAAAGGGTGTATCTCTGCTTAGGACTGCACTATAGAAATGGCACATGGCCTCTCTTACATGGCAGCATGTTAGCATAGCTATTTCAGCCTTGAACCTATTTTTTTCTAATTGTTTTGTATTGAAAAAAATAGTAATTTCTTACAGTGGAGAAAAAAATTCACACCAGAAACAGCCCATTTTTATAACAAGAAGAACCCATGGCTGAATGGAACTTGGAACAAAAACCTCCCCAGGACTCAACAGGGATATTGGATTTTTATCCCATTACATATGCTAACTCATTCAGTCCTCACATATGTATTCTCAACAAGAAGGACTATAAATTCTCTGTATTTTAGTGTATTTCTTTTTCAGAATAGTATATTAGAATACTGAATGGATGTCTGCTGACATTACATCCAGCTCAAAATATACTGTTGTGTCCTCCACGTGTCCCCTACGCCTGAGATGAGATAATTAAGATTCTGTTACTTCCCACAATTAGAAAAAACACCTTTAGACATTCATCTGCTATCTGGACATATTTATTGCTTTACAACTGTTGACCTTACAACCTTAATTTGTTATTTAGTTTTTCACTTTGCATAACTTAAACATCTTCATGTTACATGGTAATTTGCTGTTAAGTCCCTGTCTATAAGTTTAGAACCTCATAGACCATTCCAGTGTATTTGAAAAAGTGTGCCTTGCACACGAAAGCTCATGCCTTGAATAAACCTTTGTTGGTCTTAAAGGTGCCACTGGGCTCTAAATTTGTTCTACTGCTTCAGGCCAGTATGGCTGACTACCTGGATCTATCTCCATGGCTGAATGTTATTGTTACATTTCTCAGTATTGAATAAGCAGTGCCTAGTTCATCACAAAGCCTGTTATGTGGTACTTATTTTCAACACTTTCACTGTGAGAAGGAAGAATAAAAAGTTTACCTGAGCATGGGCAGAAATCTTTTACCTTAATATTGGGTAACTACAGCTGGCCTATTACATCTGGGATTAGGGAATAAGAACTGCAAGTCAGAGGGCCTTGATTCAAAGTACCTCCCACCCCAGACTTGCGACAATCATGCTCATTAGATAGACCGGGCACCGAGCTCAATTAGCACTGTTTGCTTCACCATTTCACAAAGAGATGGTGCCCCAAAGTCCCTCACCATCCACAGGCATGCAGGGTTCGTAGATAAGCCTGTAGCCCTCAAGGATTCCATTGGGGAAGAGAGGTGGATCCCAAGAGACGTTCACAGAGGTGGTGGTGAGTTCACTGAATTTGATGGAGCCCGGAGAGCTTGGGGCTGTGAGTAGAGAAACAAAGGAGTCAGATGCAGGGACAGATGCTACATTTCCCCATTAATACCAAAGCCTTTGGATGAATAGTGGCATCGCTGACAGCCATTAATCTCCAGGAGGAAGGACAGCAACCCATTGAAGAAAATCCTGTCAGTCCTTGAATACTGCTGACACTTTGCATAGTCAATGAATAAAAACAGGACTGCTTTATTAAACCATAAGGAAATGACTGGATGAGTGGTGCAGGTATCTGGTGCAAGAGCAGCTGTGAGAGCAAAAGAAGGGGGGGACCACATGGGCCAAGGGCTTAAAACTCTAGTGGGGTACTCTGGATTAAAGTGGCCCAGGAGATCAAATTCCCTGCTCACTGAGAATGGTCTTGAGCAACTGCAATCTATAGAAAAATATTTGGGCCACTTGTAGGAAATCTGGATCTTTACCTCAGCGTTTTCCTCATAATATGAATGGGAGAAACAGCAAAAGGGCTTAACCCTTTCCCTGCCTCTTGATTCTCTCCCGAAAAGGACTCCCCACTGCAGTTTTGAATCTCCCCCATATGAGTACTGAAATCAGACTCGCTTGAGGAAAATGGCTCTTGGGGGCACTTCTAAGGAATGACAAGAGGCGGTAAGAATGAAAGCTGAGGCAGCCTGTGGAGCTGGGGGACATTGTGGGAGCTGATGGCTGAAAAATCAGAAAAGGATGTGAAGTGGAAAGCGCAGAAAGATAGAAGGATGCTTTAGGGAGGTAAGTGCTGAACTATATATGATGTTGGGTTATCTGTGATAGCATCCTCAGCCATGTAATGCAATGTATAACTGCATAAAGCAGATTAGTGGGGATGGGGTACAATCGGGATCAGATCCACAGTGCTAGGCAAGGCAGGTATTTAATGGGCGGGCTGGAGGAACATTTGCCTCCACACCATTCCCTCAGGTTGAAATGTCTACCCTGCTGCTTTTAGCTTGTTGTGGAAAGAAGACTGATGCTTTCCCCTACTGATGATAGAAGTAGCTGGGTGGAAGGGGGAGAGGCACCCCCAAGTGTGGAAAAAGCATAGGGCAAAGAAATTCTTCCTCCTTCCTAAATGTCATTCAGTCAGTTCCCTCTGGTCACTGCTTTTCATAGTTAAATTACGCTACTGATGATCTAACAAGCCTTTAGAGAACACCAAAATTCCAATGCCATGAATCACATGATCTCTACATTACGACTCATTGCTCCCATCCCTTGCTATTTTGTCTTTCCTCGTGTGATAGATTGATTTTATTTATTTTCACCCTACGTTTCTCCCCAATGGGGAGCCAAAGTAGCTCACATCATTCTCCACTCCTCAGTTTTATCCCCACAATAACAATCCAGTAAGGCAGGTTGGACTGAGAGACAGCGACTGGCCCAAGACCACCCAGAGAGCTTCCTTGGAGGAATGGGGCTTTGAAGAACCTGGGTCTCCTAGCTGCTAGTCTGGCACTCTAACCACTAGGCCTCACTGGCTGGGGATGCTACTCCAAGGCCAGTCCCAGCTGAAATGCGATTCTGCAAATCTCTTCCAGTGCACATATAAAACACAGTATGATTTTCACACATGTAAGGCAAAGGCAAACACATATCCTTAAAAAAAAACAGAAGCAAAGCTGGAGTCAAATGTCTAATTTTCTAGGAACCTTTGATTATTTAAAACAGTGCTTGGAACTATAAAATGTCTTGAGGTTGAATAATTCCAACATGTGGTCATTAAAAGGGATGGAAATGGGACTCTTTTGCATGTCTATTGTTTAGTAAATCTATGCAGGTGGAGAGGAGAGGCTGGGGCTATTCTTTTCTTTCCCCCTGACCTCATGCTCTCCTGCTAGTTTCCTTGACAACTAGTGCCATTCAAAGATGCTTCACATGTTTGCTTTGTCTTGGGAAACAGTTACTCCTTAGCAAGCCTGTGACATTTTTGTGAAATTAACAAGAACCCTACTGTGATGCCAGACTAAAGAGTAAGCCCAAGCCAGACACCACAAAAGTCAGAAAATCAGACAGGAAATATTGAAGTTTTTTTTAAATCACACTTTTGGGGGCTTGTTGACTTTCTGCACCTTTGGATATATTGCTATAATTGTGTCTTTCAGCTTTTCTGTGCTGCTTTAAAGACGAACATATAGCCATGTCTTTCAGCCTCTGGTTTTTCTTCTCTTGATTAGAAGTTATAAAAGTTAACTTCACAGGCCTGTTGAGAAGGTGAACAAATTGTAAAGCACATTTTAGATCAACAGTTCTATGAAAACCACTAATGAAGTGTTGTTAACTGATCCAGATGGCTCAAGGAAGTGAGCAAAGTCACTTTGCTGGAAGAAAAAAAGCTCCTACAGTTGCTGGCCAAACTGTAAGGAAAATGCCTTTCCATCTTTTGATTTCTCCAACAAGAACAATTTCCTTGGCTGCTCTGACAAAATGATCTGCTTGACCTTAATTCTGTGAACTTAGGCAGATCATGAGAGGGAAGGCAGGAAGTGTTGCCTCAGTGCTTAGTTCTTGTGGCCCTTTCTTACACACCCAGGGAAATGCTGATCACCACTTTGGGATCAGGAAGCATTTTTTCTCCAGGCCAGTTTGGCTGGGGATCCTGGAGGGGTTTTTTTGGTCATCTGCTAAGCTTGGAACAGCGTTCCATGCACCTTGGTGTTTAGTCATGCTGGCCACATGACCACGGAAACGTCTTCAGACAGTGCTGGCTCTTTGGCTTTGAAACGGAGATGAGCACCGCAACCCTAGAGTCCGATTCGACTGGCTTTCAAGCAAGGGAACCTTTACCTTTTTTTAAAGCTTGGAACAGGGGTCACTGGGTTTGTGTGTGTGTGTGGATTTATTTGTGAATTTCCTGCATTGTGCAGGGGGTTGGACTAGATGACCCTGGAGACCCCTTCCAGCTCTATGATTCTATGTTCAACATTCCCTCTCATTCTCACAGAGATTAAGTTTTTCCTCAATTAAAAGCTAAATCTAGGTTTTTCTAGCATACTACCTCTCATCCCCCACAAAGCAGCTGCAGAAGCCTCAGATGTTAGGTCAGAAAAAAACTCTTCATAGGTCCATGTGCTTTCAAGTGCCTGTCATCTGTCGTCCCCCTCCCACACAAGTCAGAAAGCAAGCATATAACTGACTTCCTAACAAGAAATTGATATTTACTGTCATTTGTGCATTATGAGGTACACAGTTTTCCAAACAGGCTTATTAAATAAATATTTGTGTCAGGAAAACTTAAATGTGCGCACACCTCAGTCTTTCCACTGGAAAGTCCAGGAGGTCAGTCAACACAACCACATTAATCATGTTGTATCTGTGGCTATCACAAAAAATTTAAACTATGTGTGAAATGCCTGTCAGATGCCAGCTAGCCTTGGCCTACCTCCATGGAAACAGGTTTATCAAGCTGTACATTCATCACTTGATGAACGACTGCATCAGCTGATCATCTGAGCTATTTGCACCTCTTTTGGTGGAAAAGCATCTCATTAGTCCTATAAGATTTCTAAGACAAAAAACTTTTACAGTTGCACCCTGAGTGATGACTACTGCAATCCTTTTCATGCCCACCGATGGGCAACATCTTGAACTCTCTGAGTTTTTTCTCACCAAATAATCAAGAATGAACAGAAAGACCGTTGTGTCAAGGCATTAGGCAGAATGCCTGTTTGTTTGGTTTTTTTCTTCTCCTGAGTACATTCCAAATCAGTGACTTGAATATTTTGGAGTTGCAGTTTTAGAACTGAGCAGGGGGCCTCCAAAGAGGGGAAATTGGAGAAAATAGCCTAACATGCTTCGGGTAAAACCATTGCTGTGGTTCTTCTTATATTTCTTCATGCTGTGCCAAGAACAACCCCAAGGATCCAAGGAGAGGGAAGCCAGTAAGACAGGATCTTATACAGACTCTGCTTCCTCTCTGCCCATGGGAGCTAAAGATACAAGTCCAGTTCTTCATCTGAGACGTTGGTTTAAATGGGGTTTCACCAGCCAACCCCACCAGCTGTGGATATGGCCCATAAGGCTCTATTCATTTCCTTTTTGATCTCTAAATGTGTAATTTGAGGACGTTGTGAAGTGCATAGTTGGAAGGAAGGGGAGGAGAGCAGGTGATGCGAGGGAACAAAGCAAATGCCTGTTGAAGAAGGAACAGAGGAACATGCTGAGCTTCAGACTACAGAGACACATGTGTCTTTTGTCAGGCATCAGACGCAGCTCCAGGTTACTGGTTCAATAATTGTGCTCAGTTGTCGGCTGGCAACTTCCTTGGTTAGCCATGCAATCCCTAGCAGCTGAATTCAGCTCAGTAGTCAGGTTCTGCTCAGTTGAAGCACAGAGGACATGGGATTACGAGGCAAACTAGATAAGAGGTACACTAGGGTGCTATGGGCTGAAAATGAGAAATTAAGAGGGGGAGGAAGAGGAGGGGATGCATTGACAGGGTAGGTAAAGATATATAGACTGCAGTTGTTAGGAGATGCTCTACAAGTACTCCTGGGTTTATCGATTTGCTGCTTTTACCAAGATGTATACATTACACAGTCTCACCTATGAGTCTGAATGAGAAACCAGAATTCAGGGTGCATTCCATGAGCATGTTCTTTTGGGACTGGTGCCCTCCTTTCCTTGTGATTTTCAAGCAGATTGCCTTATTTATTTATGACATTTTATTTACAAAAATAGTTGCACCCCTGCCTTTCCTGTCATGAAACGTGACTCATATTTTTGAGGCAGATATTGATGTATTTCCACAATACTTTTGCTGTTTTTTTTGTTGAAGTTGTGATATGGGGCAAGCTTCAGAGTAGCAAAGCAATCACAGGGCAACAGTAATCAAACCCTCCTTGTAAGAAGCCATGACCCTCCGTGACTTCACAGTCCCTGCTGCTTGATTATCCCTTGAAAGAATGGAGAACGGAGCCCAGCCCATGTCACATGAAAGCCCAAGCAGCGGAGGCATCTCTTCCCAGGTACCTCACCTGCTTGTTGGGTCCTGCCTTTGATGGGAGCACTGCGGGGCCCATCACCCGCAGCGTTGAAGGCCAGGATGCTGACCAGGTAGGCTGTGTAGCCGGTCAGATTCTTGAGTTTGACAGCATTCTCTGGTAGGAAGAGTGTTTTCACCCGTTCAGTTTCATTCTGCCGCTGAGCCTCCCAAAAATAGATCTGTGGGGGTGGAGAAATTGGAAATGGTGAGGAAAAAGCAAAGGGGTGACATGATGGCACCAGTGTTCCCTCTAAGCTGAGTTAGTGTGAGCTAGCTCGCCATTTTTTAGCCTCCGGCTCACACATGTTTGCCCTAGCTCAGGAAAGATGGCTCCAGAGCAAACTAGTTCAATGCAGCAGCCAAATCGCTCGCTCACAATTCGAATGCCGGTAGCTCACAGAGTAGATTTTTTTGCTCACGAGACTCCACAGCTTAGAGGGAACATTGGATAGCACACCTCTCTCTTTCTCTCTGGGTGCATCATATGATGCCTGTGATGATCTTTCCCCTCCAAAATGAGGAAGGGAGAGTTCACTGTTTTTCAAATTAATATTTTCCAAACCTGGGACTCAAGTTTTGCTAGGGCTACTGTCTATATATGACACTTTCCCCAGTACCCCAGTCTGTATCTCTGGATCCTTCAGCATCCTGACCCAGTGTTACTGGTAACTCTTAAGCAGACCGGAGTAATGCAAACAGTCCTGATAAACTAATAAACTGGGCCTGCCTGATCAACCAATTAAATGTTTTATTGGTTCCATCTTTTATCTGATTAATTGAAGCATGGTTTAAATGTCTCAACTTTGATAGTAGCATAACCTGAATAAAACTTCCCTTTTTTGAAATCAAAGGAAGTAGAAGACAATTGAGATATAATGATAACCATTTTAATAGCTTACATAAGCGCTTTGATTTCAGTTCTTCTTGAAACGTATCATGTTACGAGGCTTACTAAGCGCTGGACGCTAATTGTTGAATATTAAGCGCTTTGATTTCAGTTCTTCTTGAAACATATCATGTTACAAGGCTTACTAAGAGCTGGACGCAACAACAAAATCATAATATTTGTATTAAGGCTTATAATTGTTTTTGATGGTACAGTAGTATATAAATCTGTGACATTGTCTTGCATATTTTGTATTTTTGCATAGTTAATATATTTTTAAGATACAGTTCAAATGCCATGCCCACTGATTAATCTACTGATTCAAGCTTGCAGATCTAATTAAAAGGCACCATTTGGATCCACCTATGGAAAACCAAATTTTAAATAATAGAGAAGAATATATGATTTGGTGTATTGCTTATGATATTAGAGTATGTGGTTATGTGTACATTTTAGATTTAATATTAAGTGATTGTTTTCAGCTTTGTCATGGAGAAAATTTTGTAAGTTCTTTAAGGATATGCTCTTCCAATCCTTTTTCTTTTGCTTCTTTTCCTCCTATTTTTCTGTATTTCCCCCCTCAATTTTATTTTCACATATGAAAATCTGAATTAAAAGTTTATTAAAAAAGAAAACCACATTTGGAATATTGGTGAGACTTTTCCTCCTGTGATTATTTAGATTGCAGCACATACCCACAGGAACCCTTACAGAACCATATTCCACCTGACCATTGTCTAGTTCAAGTCAGAGAAGCTTTGTGTTCTTCTGTGCAAGAATTAAGTTAAAGGTGGTTAGGTAGTCCGTGTTGCCCTTTGGCCCGCGATCCCTGCTAAAATGAAACTGCATTTTCTAAATATACAAAGAATGACATAGCAAGTACAGTTTCTCTCTTGCTTTTCCTTCAAGGCTCTGTGTGTGCCCCTCTCGAAGTCCAAAGGCCAGCATAGGGTTGCCAACTCTGGGTTGGAAAATTCTTGGGAGATTTTGGGGATAGAGCCCAGGCAAGGCAGGGAGGGACCTTGGTGGAGTCCACCTTCCAGAGCAGCTGTATTCTCCTGGGGAACTCATCTCTGCAGTCTGGAGATCAGTTGTAATTCCAGGAGATCTCCAGGCCCCACCTGCAGTTTGGCAACCGCAGATCAGCATATGCTTGAGCTTCTCTGACTGATGAACAGAAGAATGCTGGTTGTAAAAGCAATGGTGATGACTTTATCCCCAAATATATTATGGTGAATTCTGTTATATATTGACATATTACTTTTAAACTGCATAGATTGGGTTTCAAAATCTAGATTGGACTCCATCTGATGCAGAGCACTGCAGTGAGACCGATATCGGGAACTAGGCACAGCATGCATATTATACCTGTTCTGCAGTTCCCTCCTTTGGTTACTTATTAATTTCCGGGTGCATTTCAAGGTGCTGTTTATTATCTACAAGGTACTTTGCTGAGCTGAGCAAAGCCTTCTGCAAAGAGTAAGAACAGCAGCTGCCCAGATCTGAGCAATCTCTGTTTTCTGTTATAATTCTCACCTGATCAAATGGCTTGCTTGGTGAGCTCTTGAAGGTTCGAACACTTTTATCATCTAACAGTATATGTAAAATGGAATTGTTAAAGAGGACATTTTTATTATGGGGACAGGGTTGTGGTTTTAGGCTTGGATTCTATGAACAAGTTCCGTTAATCGTCTCTGACGCAGAATGCTCCTCCTCTTCTGCTAAAACTTCAGTTTGCACAAAGGGCTCGTTGATCTTGGGCAAATGGATTTTTTAGCAAAAGACAAAACATTCTGCAACAGAGACTAATACCTCAACATTTTCCCCCTGCTCTAATTAAGCTGATTACATTTTGCACTGTACCTTCATATCCTGACTCCCTTCTCTGCAACACCCCTCCCACTTTCTGACTGGGATTTAAGGGCTCAGGGATCTCCATTCCTATTGCATCTGATGAAGGGAGCCTTGACTCTCCAAAGCATGCACCCTGGAAATCTTGTTTGTCTCTAAGGTGCTAGTGGACTCGTATCTTCTACTGCAGACCAGCACTGCTACCCACCTAAAACTACTGCACATGGAATCGTCCATAGGATACAAGCCTTAAGGTCCAGGGGAAAATTTTAGGCAGTTTTTACTTTATTGTATGTATTATATTGTTTTCTAAACTTCAGAGGACGGCGGAAGACCGGAAGGCCTGGCGTGATCTGGTCCATGGAGTCGCGAAGAGTTGGACTCGACTGTGCGACTGAACAACAACAAATATTGTTTTATTGTATTAAAATTGTAATCTGCCTTGTCTCAGCAAGAAAAATGGGCTAGAAATGAAGTAAGTAAATAAATTTACTCAAAGCACAATATGTGCTTCTTGCAGTCACAGAAACGTATACCCAGTTAGCACTGCATTATTCCTTCTTAGTTGGCCTGTGAAGATTTTCATTCTTAAAGGATCTCAACTAAGCATCTCACAGATTTCTCTCGAAGGAACTTAATATGGGAAGGAAGTTCTTTCCTCTGTAGGGGCAGGGGAGGATTAGGATACCTTCACCCCTGACCTGGGCAATGCAGCATTAGTCAGACCTTCTCCAGTTTTGGCTGCTGGGGATGAATCAAGAATTGGGCGCTAAACAGTGTTCTTCTGAAGTCACTCTTGGGTGATATCCAGACTTCCACAGAGAAGCTCAACCATTCCACCAAGCCATGAAGTCAAGGCATCAAAAGACAGCAACAAGCAGGTTCCATGGCAACCCTTCCTGGCACCCTTGTAATTTCTTAGGAAACAGAACAGTAACTTTCCAAAACTGCAGTTTTGCTGGCTTGCAGGGTCACTGATTGGATGTCTCAAGCCAAACTAAACAGTGGCTGAGCAAGGACTGGCAAGAGACTACTTTCAGCTACGCCATGTCATCGCTGGGGTATACTGCTAACTGCTACAACACAGGGGACAGACCGATATTACCTTCTGCAAGGGAGTATTCTGCTGAAATGAAACACAGAAGCTGCCTTGAAGCAAAGCCCCTTATCATATGATGGAAAACACTGTTTGGCTCCTCAATCCAATCCCAGTTCCTTGGAGCATGCTTAAAATACACACAGCTGGAAAGAGGCATGTGCCATGTACATATATTACAGACATACATGTGTTTATAAAATGTTTTGCGTAACTCCCCATAATGTAGATCCAGGTCGTCAGCTGTGCTGGTATGAAGCAGAAGAACAAATCTAGAGTCCAGTGGCACCTTTAAGACCATCAAAGGTTTATTCAAGGTATGAGCTTTTGTGTGCGAGGCACACTTTTTCAAATACATTGGAATGGTAGATGAGGTTATGCAAAATGAAAAACTAAATAACAAGCTAAGGTTATAAGGTCAACAGATGTAAAGCAATAAATATGTCAAAATAACAGATAAATTATTTAGTTTTTCACTTTGCATAACTTAAACATCATCATGTTACATAATTTGCTGTTAAGTCCTTGTCTATAAGTTTAGAACCTCATCTACCATTCCAGTGTATGTGAAATAGTGTGCCTTGCACACGAAAGCTCATACCTTGAATAAACCTTTGTTGGTCTTAAATGTGCCACTGGTCTCCAAATTCGTTCCCCAAAATGTAGGGCTTGAAGAGGTCCTCAGTTCTAACAAAACAGAAACAACCTTGACCGCTCACAATATAGCAAACTGCAGGCTTCTGTCTGAAGCTCAGTGCTGTCACCTGCTGGCAGTGTGTGGAACTGCATCTTTCGGGAGGAGAAAGAGGGTTATTTCTTATTTGTTCCCGTCACGGATACATATATAGCATCTGCAGTAATTGTCATTATAAATGAACTGAGACATAATCTCTTCAGGCTTTAACAAGGGCGGAGAATGGACGTTGAAAAGCTGTAAGATACCTGAAATCATCCAGCCCAGCACCAGGCAGTTCTCCACTGCTGCTCCTAACAGTTTAGCCAATAGCCTGCATAAACAGTAATGCTTTTTATTTACTTAGAAAATTGTATGCCACCTCTCAAGAAACTGCTTGATTATATTGCAATATCGTTCCATGATGGAGCTAGGAGACGCAGCAGCCTCCACTTTCAGCAGGGCAGGTGATTCCAGTCCTTATGTCCAGGATCAGCATCCATACATAGGCCCGATCATTCTTCCCATTGCCTGATACCTTATAGCCTTGGATGTCTCCATTCTGTGCCTCAGGAGGTGGGGGATCCCATGCGATGTCAAGCTGGGTGGCTGTGGCACTTTGAATGACAACATTCTGTGGTGCAGCTGTGGGTACTAAAGGGAACAAAGGGAATAGTAATGAGAATGTTCTGGTAATTATACTCTTGAAGGACAATGGAGATGCAAGAACTGATTTGCTTTGAACCAACTGGCTGTCTCTGAACACTCCATGGACCCACTCTGGGCTTGCTGATCACTGGTTGGAAGCCTCCTTTTTATTGATTGAGGAATGGGGCTTGCTTATGAGTAACGCAGTGTCTCTGCTATTTCGTCCACGTGAAAGCCCCAGGTCTTAGCCTTTGGCATTTAGAGCAGGAAAACCTATAGAGATGTGGGAGAAAATGATGCCTGAAAGGAGGCATTTGACTTACCAGCCTCTCCAACAAAGACTTCCTGCGGTGAGCTGTTGGGCCCCTCACCCACAGCATTGTAGACACTCATTCGGATCTCATAGCGATGGTGCTTGTTGAGATCTGCAGAGGCAGAAAGCAAATTGTTATTATGGAGCTAATCTTCAGCACTGCTTGTTGAGATCTGCAGAGGCAGAAAGTGAATTGTTATTATGGAGCTAATCTGCTAGCTATATCTTAACTCAGCTCCCATTTTCTCATTCTGCACTGTGTTCATACCACTAGTCCCTTGCTTGAGAAGCAGAAAGGATGTGATTTGGAATAACCACACAGACCTTTTTATCTCTGGGCTGCAATCAAGAGCAGTGACACACACATTCCGGGGGCCCCTCATTTCCCTCCTTTTTCACCTCTCCCTTTCTGATTCCGCCCCGCCCCCCATGGCTCACTTCCTTCCTAACAATAGGAAATGATGCCAGGATGGGGACAGAGCAACAGTAGGAAACTACTTCATTGCATGGTAAGAACAGTGCACACATGGCTGCCAGGTGTCAGTTCTTTAAAAAGCAGCTTCAGAACCCTCATGACTGTGAACAGGACTTTTTTGGTAGAAGAAGCTAAAAAAAACAGCAGGAACTCATTAGCATAATAGGCCACACCCAACAGCAGAAACTCATTAGGTCACACACCCCATGTTACCAGAAGTGTGGTCATCCAGCCACACCCACCTTGTGCTTCTTATTCCGTTTACCTTGTTTGTTGTCAACACCCAGGGCTTTTTTTGGAGCAGGAACTCCTTTACATGTTAGGCCACACACCCCTAATGTAGCCAGTCCTAATGAGTTTCTGCTGTTGGGTGTGGCCTATTATGCTAATGAGTTCCTGCTAGGCGTGGCCAACTTGGGAGCCAGCCGGAACTCCGTTCCTGTGCGTTCCTGCCCCAAAATAGCCCTGACTGTGAACATAAGCTTACCATGATGAAGGTAGTGTTCGCCCTAAGACTGGTTCAAAAGAGGGCTTTTAGTATCCAGGGGAAGATATTTCTCATCTTCTCCGTGGATCTAGTCCTTATTCTCTTGACTTTACCCACTGTCCTAAAGTATCCCAGTAGGCTCATCCCTCCCCTTGCTATTGTTCTTTTGTAGTTACACTAACATAAAAACCAACCTGATCTCATCAGATCTTGGAACTAAGCAGGGTCAGCCCTGGTCAGTTACTTGGATGGGAGTCCACCAAGGAATACTAGGGTTGTGATAAAGATCTCTTGCCTTGAAAATCCCATGGGGTTGCCATTAGTCAGCTGTGACTTGAGAGCAATAAATAAATAAATGAAATGAAATGGGGAAAAAGTCATCTTGGGGGAATTTTTTTTACAACTTTGGCTAATGTGTACTCTGTGTTTGTGATCCACAATCAAAACTGATCCTGTTATACTAACTGATATAGAACTGTATGAATTTTGAATCCTACAAAAGTCTTGCAAAATCTGTGCCAATTTTGGGATTTTCACTGGTAGCAAAAGCCACTATCCTTTTACATGGGAGCGGTCACAGACTTGAGAAGGCTGAGAGTCTAATCCAGGAAGGAGCTGTTCCCCAACCGCAGCTATGTGGCTGGATTCTACCTTCCCCAACCGCAGTTATGTGGCTGGATTCTAAGAGAGACCAGCAACACAGAGAGACAAATGCCCAGAGAAGAGACCAAGCACCCACTTACTGTCCAGTTCGTACTGTGTGAGGGAGGCCTCAGTCAGGTTCCGCATGGCGTACATTGCTGTGGGATGGCAGGTGGTCAGAAGGGAAAAGCAGTTAATGCAGGTTAGCCACATGTAAAGAAACATTTCGACAATGCAAGCGGGACTAAGAGATGTCATCAGGGAGGAGCAAAACAGCTAGGAGAGGAACTCACAGCCACAGCAAAGAACACTGAGGAGTCTCCAAGGAAGCACTGGGAAAGGAAACAAATACCCAGGGGATACCACACAAGACAAACACAGCTACCCAGAATCAACAGTGGGCATCACATGGCATGACCTTCACAATGCTCAAGTGTCCTTAAGGCTCTGGACCTTGCAGTTCAACGGGAAAGGAAAGCTTCCCTGAAAGAAAACCCTCCCTGATCTTCATGAAATTAAGCTGATAGGATGGGACTCCTGTCAGTATACCAGGATCCACTTTCCCCGTTACAATTTGTCCAAGTACTTTGTTACAGCAACACTTTGCAATACTTTGTTACTGCAGAACAGCTTGTGAATACTTGCAGTACCAGTTTATTAGTACAAGGGAAGTACTGCACACTTTGCTACTCTATGAATTGCCGGGAGCTCTGGGTGCATTTGTGTAAGTGTTTGGAAGTACTTAGCATCAGGGCTTGTCAATGGAGGACTGTTACTCAGGACTGATGGCCGTAATGGACTGTTCCTGTAGAATTTCCTGAGAGCGCAACAGAATTTTACAGTTAAGGCTGCTGTAGGTACTGATTTTTTCCCCCTTCCCTAGTTCCTGGACCCCATGCTACCCATAGGCACACTCACAGGTCAGTTCTGTCCATTTTGCACTGGGGTTGCCGATGCTGCGTGCAGTGAAGCCCCGCACCCCTTCATATGTCAGCTCCCGATAGCGGACGCGGAAACCTAGCAAGATGCCATTGATTTTGTCTTCTGATGGAGCCTATGCAAAAGGGAATCAGATAATCAGTGAGGGCCTCATATGTGAAATTCCCTCCCCTCTTCACAGCATGATCAACATATGCCACTGTCTTTTATCAAACCAGTGTGGGTGCTGGCTTACTCCTGCCTTCTAACACTTTCTGAATCCCGCTTTCATCACCCATTCAAGAAATGGAAGTGAGCAGCTGATGGAGACAGGCAAGAGAGGCCTCAAAATCCTATCGAGCAATGAAAAAGTGAGATATAATAGCTGTAACCTTCATTTCAGGCCACTAGGCCATTACAGAGTCCACCCTCCCCCCCAAAAAAGAAAAATATATGTCAACTGAGGTTGCTTTCTGTACCCTGCAGGGAAGACCACACATAGGGCCCTTGGCCCTAGATGAACTATGACGTTGATGACCACCACGCATTCAATATACAGGAAAACAAGGAGTCTAGAATGAACTTTTACGTTTATTTACTTGCCATTTTACTAATTGTGGTGTTCCTTAAAGCTTGGGAGCCTATATGACCACTTAGTTTACTTATATGGTCTGCTCTGATCACCTCTGTTCTGCAAACTCATTGGCACACACACTATGTTTCAGCACTAGCAATACTCACTCCATTGTGACTGCAGACCTTTCTTTTTGATTACTGACACAATGAATAAAGAACATGGGGGTGAGGGGAACTAGGTCTGTTTGTACAGACTTGGTCTTTTCCCACATGTATGTTCTGCTCTGCCTTGGCTCCCTTACTACAACACTGTTCATCCTGTTTTCATCCCCCCCCCCCACTTTGCTGTGATTTGGTATGATCTCTTTAGAAACCTGCTGCAAACTTGGTTTGGTATGATAGCTTTAGAAAGATAGCAGTCAAAGCACCTTTAGCATGGGGATGGGAAGAAACTTTTTTTTCAGCCCCTGCCCACATCAGCACCGTTCTCTGGGTGTTGCAACAGATCCTTAAAAAGTGATAGTGATCTAGCTATTTTCAATTTTTAAAAACCCTGCAAAAGTCCTCTGGAGGCTGGAGAGGGGAGTGGTAGCCACCGAGGAAGGTAAGGCGGAAATTTCTGGGTGGATACTTGGTTGCCACTGCAAATGCCTCTGTACTAGCAGCAGCAACAAGAGTTTCATGGAAAACTGTGGGGAAGCAGCTTGGTTGAAGTCTCATCGCCTTTATTCAGGCTTGCCTGCCTAAAGCCTGTATTCCAGTTGGCCCTCTTCTTGTAGGGCATGATGGAGAAGAACCATTATACAACCCAGGAATGTTTCACCAGCCAGAACCTTTTCCAGAAAATTAGAGGACTCCTTCTAATCCAGCAATCCTAGCCAAAGGCCCAGGGGGGGGGGGGGGGGGTGTCTAATAGAAATAAAGAGTAGTAGCCTACCTGCCAACGGATCAGCACTGATGTCGTGGTGTGTGGTGTCACAGACAAGATAGTGGGAGCTT